TCTAGGGAGGTGTTCATCCTTAGTGGGTTTCTAAGGAGGTGATTGTCTTTTTAATTAGTTTACTTTTTACTTGTTCTTCTGCTGAGTTGATTGTAATTTGTAAACTGAATTTGAAAGATAGTGAATGGGGAGTCACTCTTGTGTTAAGAGTTGACTGGGAATTGGATGTAGGGTTGGCTATACCCGAACCAGTATAAATCATTGTGTGTTCTTCTATTTCCCTTATCTCTTTCTCTTTTCCTGATTATATTATCGCTTCCGCTTTATTTGTGTTCAAACAAATTATTGACTTACAAATAAATTTTTAATTTGACATCTATTTTAATTTGTACATCTATTCACCCCCTTCTAGATGCCATTTGTCTAACAAGTGGTATCAGAGCTTGGTTAGATAAGATATTTCTAAATGATCTGTCAAGATTTCTATGCAGAATCAAGTTTATAGGGAAGGAGCCTCAATAAACAGACCTCCATTATTTGAAGGAGAAGATTATCAGTTTTGGAAGATGAGAATGGAAATATTTTTACAAACACTAGATTACGGTGTTTGGGATGTTGTACTCAATGGTCCCTACATTCCGATGAGAACAACGGAGTTTGGAGCTGTTCCAAAGACTTTTGATCAATGGACGCCGAATGAAAACAAGCGTGCCAATATGATGTAAGATCCCGAAACGCTATTGTTTCTGCCTTAACTCGTAATGAATTTTTCAGGGTCTCACAATGCAAGACGACAAAAGAAATATGAGACACTCTTGAAGTAACACATGAAGGAACAAATGAAGTAAAGCGAGCACGTAAGAACACACTCATCCACGAGTATGAATTATTTCAAATGCAGAAAAATGAAAGCATCACGGATTTCCAAACACGCTTCACACATATAGTAAATCACTTGAAAGCATTAGGAAAGAGTTTTGACAATGAGGAGTTGAACACAAAGATCTTGAAATCCTTAGACAGGAATTAGCAACCAAAGGTTACTGCTATTACAGAATCAAAGGATCTCACAAAAATGAATATTGCTACTCTATTTGGAAAGATGCAAGAACATGAGATGGAGCTACAAAGGTTAAAGAACGGTGAACAGAACCAAACCAAGACGATAGCTCTAAAAGCAGAAAAATCTTCACAAGACAAAAGCGAAAATGAAGGTAAGTTTTCGGACTCCGATATGTCTCTTTTTGTTAAATAATTTTCTCGCTTTATAAAGAACAGGAAAAGGAGACAACAAAGAAAGGAGAAAACAAATAAATTCCATTGCTATGAATGTGGAAAACCTGATCATATCAAACCAGACTATCCGAAACTTAAGAAAGAGAAGAAAGATGTGAAAGAGAAGAAGAAAGAGAAGACCGATACCTATAAGAGCAAACACAAAGCTTATATTGCTTGGGAGGATAATGATTCTTCCACAACACAAGAGAGTTCTTCTGAAAGCAGTGATGGAGAAGAAGAAGCAAATATTTGCTTGATGACAAAAAGTGATGATGAAGTCTCATCACAGGTAAGTAGTACAAATTCCTTAAATGAATATGATGAGTTATTTAAAGAATACTAAGATATGTATGAAGGTTTTACCAAGTTATCTAAGAAATACAATGCACTTAGGCAAAAGTTTAATGCATTAGAAAATACTGTTGGTATTCTTGAAAAATAAAATGAGTGCTTGTAGACCCCTAATCTTGTCCGGCCTCATAATAAGACCAGAAGACCTTCTTTTCGAAGATGGATGAAGCCTAAGAAGCCATTAGGAGAGACTATTAGGCCCCATACTAGGATAGGAGGGATTTTCTGCATTAAAATAAGGATTTTTCGCCTTCAGAGGTCGAGACCGTCATCTCGCATTCGGGACGGCCGTCTCGCCACTTGCAAATGGCGAGACCCCCTTCTCGTTTGGCGAGACGGCCTTCTCGCCATTTTTGCAAGGCGAGACGGTCGTCTCGACCTTGTTAGACGAGACGGCCGTCTCAACCTGACAAACGCGAATCCCTATAAATAGACGCATTTTTCTCTTCATTTCACACAATTCTTCGACTTTCTCTCTTGTAACCTCTTCAAATTCTCTTCCTAGAACCCCTCCAAAGCATTTCCGGAGTTTTTGAGAGTTTCTTAGAGATTTTATAGCGTTTCCGAGAGTTTTTCCGGCGTTGTAAAGAGTGACGGGCTACCAAAACGCACCCTAATTTTCAAGAGATTAATTAAAGAGCTTGCTTCGGAGGTTTCTTCTTCCTCTCTATCTCTTTATTGCTTTCATTATTATGATTAAATTATGTAATAGATATTAGGGCCATGTAGTCATTCTTTTTAATTCCGCAAATAAAAGGGTAAAAGCGTCTTTTCACAAAGTTTATTTATTAAAAAGCTGGCCTATCATAGGGAACCCGAAAGGGGCGTCGTAAGGGAACTAACACTTCCCTTACACGTAACTAACTCCCTTACCTAAACTCTGGTTTTAACGATCAAAGTTGGTTTTCAAAAACCAACACCTTTTTACTCCTTTTTCGATGTTTCCGGTAAAAACATCGATGACGACTCCATAAGAACCCTTCAAAATTAGTTCTTGGGTTAGCCCGGTTATCGGACAATCCAAGAACACTTTTTCAAAAACCTCGCCCCTAGGTTCAGCCCGGTTATCGGACAACCTAAAGGCGTTGTAACCACACCCATGAAACGCGAAAATTGGAAAGTCGGAATCATCGCGTCGCTCCGACCGCCTCATTTTGATGGCGGTGACAGATGGCGACTCCACTGGGGAAGCCTAGAGAGTTGATCCCATTTAGTGATGGGCCAGCTTAAATAAATAAACCGAGAAATTACGCTTTTACCCTACCTTGTATTATAACATGCTTTAATGTTTGGCTTTAATAACTGTTGTTTGTTTATATTTACGCAATTGTTTGAAATACAAATTGTACATGTAGACCCCAAATCTTGCCCGGCCTCATAATAAAGTCAGAAAGCTTCCTATTTGAAGACGGCCGAAGCCTAACAAGCCACTAGGAGAGACTATTAGGCTCCCGTACTAAGATAGGAAGGTTTTTTGGCCCGAAAAATAAGGTTTCTCGCCCTGAAGGGACGAGACCGCCGTCTGGAAGGACCAGACCGCCGTCTCGTCTCAACGCTAGGGCAGGCCGCCGTTTAGATTGTCCGGACGGCGATCTCGGTTCTGCGAAGGCGAGACGGCGGTGCGGGTTTCCTAGACGGCGGTCTCGATTGCCACCTGAGTCGAGACGGCGGTGCGGATTATCCGGACGGCGGTCTCGACCTGCCATGAACGAGGCCGGCGGTGCTGGACTTTCCGGAGCGGCGGTCTCGACTCTGTCCGAGAGGAAACGGCGGTCT